TGAGAGTTAAAGTTTTTTTAATATTACTTAATTAAAATAAAACAAGCTGAAGAAGAAAACTTCACACAATGCTTTATTATATTTTAAATTGTATAATTACAAACTAAAGTAACTCAAAATACAACTGTAGTCATTTTTAATTATGTTTGTTTATACTTTTTTGTACTTGAACCATTTTATCTCTAAAAATATTTGAAATGTTAGCTAGAAATTGATTTATCGGTACATTCTTCTACGTCATTAAGGGATTCGTTGACTTCACATTATCTATTCCGTGTTTCTTCGATTTTTATAAAAATTATGGTATGTAGGCGGAATAAAGGGAAGAAGATATTTCATTTGTTGCCTTTTACAGTGTGTAACATTACGTCTATATGAAATGATAATATTTTTCTTCCTCGTGCAGCTTTATTCAGATCAACAAAATGTCAGATATTTAAGTATTTGTAAGAAAAACAGCCTAAATTATTGATGCAGTAATAGTGAAAATAATGATAAATCAAACTATACTTTCAGAATCGATAGAATCAGACCATTCAGATGGCTGATAATCTGATTCACTTGGTGCAAATGATTCAGCCTTTTTGTCATTGTCATTTATTTTATCAAAAAAATATTTTTTTTACCTCTAAATTCAAGCACGTATGTTAAAATCGCGCACAGCGTTAAATTTTATGGACTTGATCTAGTTCACTTCTGAAAGGAACCAACAGAATATTCAGAAACCAAAGAGAAACAAGCGATGGCTGCTTAATGCGTGAAGTATGACTTGATTCATTTCTCTACAGGAAAAAACAATACTATTTTATAAACTTATAAAGACGATTATCTTAAAATATTAGGAAATTGGACTTGGTCCATTTTAATTCTGACTATCCTGATCTTTATAAAAATGACCAGCTGTTAAGCAAAAATATTTTTAACGTACGAGTTGGTAGGAGGCAATTTTTATAAAAACCAGCGCTTACGTTATCAGCAGGATTACGGGACGTCGTTGCAGCCCCCTAAACTGAATATTACTTTTATAGTGCTCTTACTCGTGCTTAATTATCTTCGACGTATAGTTCAGCGCTCTCAAAACTATGGCATTCACTCACATACCACGTAAATTAACTATATCCATTTATCGAGCGTGGAAACGCGTATTTCCGTCATCTCCAGCGACAGCTCCGACTCGGAAACTCGAGCAAGGCAGAAATGTGAAGGGTTATTTAAGACCAATTTGAGATAATTGACGTGGCTTTTTTTTGTTCGAATTAATAATCCACCGAATACGAGTATGTTACTTTCTCGAGTGTACTATTAAAGTTGATTAAATTATACACAAGGGGGAGTTGTTAGGAAATTCTAGTATAAGTTTTGTGTAATAGAATGATTATATTCCCAGAATACGATGAAATATAATAAAAGATAGGTAAATTTTCGATACATAAAATATTCTAGTTAAGAAAATGAGTCTCATGCTTTCGTAAATTATGATAAATTAGGAGTAATTTCTCAAAAATAACCTAATATAAGAAAATATAACCTAGAATGAAATAAAATATACTTTTGGACATTAACTTTAGTTTTTAAATTTTCTACAGCGTTTTTGTCAGGTGTATCACTAACCAAGTTCTAAAATTATCGACCTTACACAGGGTGGTCCGAACTGTATTGCGGAAACTTCGACAGCATATTCTGCAGATAAAAATAAGTAAAAAAGTTTGTATAAATGTATGTCCAAAAATGCTTAGTTTCGGAGATACAGGGTGTAGAAGTTTCATTTTTATTTCGATTTTTTCCAAATAATTTCTTTTGTAACGTTAATATTTAGATGAAAATTGGTGTCTGGGAGTCTTTTGGCATAAGAAATTTAATTTTGATGTCAATTTGACTGCTACTTGTAGAGGACGCCGCCTATATATTTTTTAACTGGTTTACTTTTTTAACTATTTTTTAACTACGTTTACGACGTTTGTACGTAAAAAAGGTCACTTGATAAAAGTCGCTACGAATAATTTAAAAACGTTATTGTAAAAAATACATAGTGTTATATTTGAAATAACGAAGTTTTTATGTAAAATAAATAATATTTAAATAGTCCAGCAATTTCTTATCAGTATCCCCCTGTATACATTGAAGGCAGCAATAATTTTTTTTAGTAAAGTTTATTTCTCTTCCTTTAAAGTCAACACAAGAGTTAACCCTGAAAAGTAATGTTACTTATTATTATATTATGCATATTTAAATATCTTTAAATATCTCAAAAAACCAAAGCATTTAAACATATTAACCCTTATAATAAATGCCTTTTTTTATGCCCAAGAATCCAAAAATGAAATAAAATAGCGGGTGTGTGTGTTCCATAAGAAAAAATATAACTTTGGTATGGATCTTACTTCTGACACACCCTGTGTACTACGCACAAATTATGCGCAAATTATGCACAATTGTGCACAAATTATGCACATTGCCTCTCTACATATACCCCTAAAAAATTTAGTTTCTATATATTTCCGTTTTCGTATAATCAACTGAGGCGAATGAGGTGCGCCATATTACCCTTCAAAAGAGTTAAAACACATGTAGGTGGCGCCCCCTATAAATAGGAGTCATATTGACATCAAAATCAAATTTCTTATGTTAAAAAACACCAAGATACCAATTTTCTTCCAAATAATGACGTTACTTAGAAATTATTTGGAAAAAATCGAGATAAAAATTAAACTTCTACACCCTGTATCTCCGAAACTAAGCATTTTGGGGCATACATTTATACGAACTTTTTTACTTTATTTCTTTTTAAGGCTTTCACAAGTAAAGCAGTTCGATGCAGTTAAGCGTGAGATTATCCACTGTGGATGCCAGTAATAATCAGGATAGTGCTTATTTTATTTATTAATTTTTGACGTATTTGATATTGAAGCAAAAATACCTGAAACAAGAATAAAAATAATATAACAATAAAATAATATAATTAATTCATCTTTCATTTACTTTTTATTCAAGGTATTTTTTCATTTAATTACCTCGAATAAAGCAATTTTCGAAATTATTCACTTCTGAACAGCTCTTATCCGATTTGGACGCAGTCCCAGAACAATAAAATAAAAATTAATTCTGCCATGCCTTCTCGCGAGAAGCTCGAGCAACAGATATAACTTGGCACGATACCAAGGCATAATTCAAAAGGTCAAGGGAGGTGCAAAGCTCTTTAAGAGTACCCGACTATTTTTTTTCTAAAATTTAAATATTTTCCCGGCTTGTTCGGATATGAGAGGGTTTTCTACATTTTAGTTTTATGTTTTTTATTATTTAATTTAAATATGTGAGGAACGAATCGTCTACTTGGAAATACTATATTTTAAATTTATATACAGTATGTCCCCGGATTGACTTTACAAGAGGAAAAACTTTTTTATCATTTTTTTTGCTTGTTCTAAAATAGTTAATCCCGTTTATATTTTTCCAAATTTCCATACCGTTTTAGAGGAAATTAAAAAAACATGAAAATATGTTTGAAAGTAAAGATGAGCAAGAAATCACAAACTGCGATTCATTTGTAGCGATTTTAAATCGTAATCGCAACCTGCGATTGGCTCGTAGGAAACTGCGATTGCGATTTTCTTCTATTTGAGAGTTTCAATTTAGGCAACCAGTATTACTATAGCTGCGATTTGCGACTTTGTTGCGATTTGCGATTTTGCTGCGATTGCGATTTTATAAACTGGGACCATGATTTCTATCTCCGAGTTTTGTGGGAGTTGCGATTTGCGATATTGTTGCGAATGTAATTTTGTGGTCTATTGAAGCATTTTATAGTAAACTGGGATTAAATTTTCTCTCTGATATTATTTATTTGTAGAGAAGGTATTATTTTTCTAGGGTTACGATTATAATATACCGGGTGTTTCTCAAGAGTTTACCCCCTATAACTTTTTTATTTTTTCTGATAAAAAAACGAGGTTGGTATGTTAGTATATGATATAAATTAGGATTGATTGACATATTCAATTGTTTTATGTAGTCACTTCCTTTTTCACCGGAAATGACTACATAAGTTTTGATTTTTAAATGGCACTGTTGGTATTTTTTTTCTTTATTCGATAGAAAATGACACTCTGAATAGAATGGCATATCATATGGCAACTTTTGACATATTCGCTTAAAAAATCGTATTTTAAATTTCAATCTAGAATGTCATGGCTGTGTTTAAAACACTAATTTTAATGAAGAAGCCTTGGAAAAGTAGATTTGATCGTCTGTTGTTTTTCGCGTCTTGTCCTGGCCAGTTAAAAGATGCCCAAATCGTATTTTTAATCATATCACATTTTTTTCAAATGGAAGGAAGGTGGCTCATTGTTATATTTAGAAAAAGCATTTTTTACGAATAATTTGGTTTGGTAAATATTAAAATCTCAATCGCAGTTTACAGTCGCTGCGGTTTAAAAATCGCAATCGCAGTTTCAATTGCTATTGGAGAATCGCAATTTTCCTCATCTCTAGTTGAAAGTCCGAAAAATCAAAACGCGTTTCTATGGTAATATACATAATTTCGTTTTCATTCTTTAATAGATTGTTGTTGATAAAATTTTAACTAACGTCATATTTATTGCTGTTTTAAAATGTTAAAGAAGCACAAAATTTATTTAGATCAATGCTACGGATAGGGTGATAATTGATATCGGAAAATGTGATACCTTAACAATAGCAAGAAATATGACGTTAATCAAGATTAATAATAATCATCTATCACAGAATGAAGATTTTTAGCAACTTTTGAAGCCAAAGGTTTTTTTTCATTTCTTGGTCCTAAATTTACAAAGCTCATTCCACATCATAAAGACGCAAATCTAGCCCACAAGTCGTTTATAGTTACTTCTTAGAAATATTTTTTATAGACTATTTATAGGTCCCGCTTACAACGAAGGTTCAAAGATGAGGAAAAGCAGTTTACCCAAAGAAGAAATTCTCTAATTTTCTAATAATTTTAGCTTATTTTAAAACTTATTATTTAGGGATGTGTTTGGTGTGGAGGAGAAGAGTCACGCCGGTCACATGAAGGCCGTCAAGCAGTCCGTGTTGGATGGCACGTCAAAGTGGTCGGCTAAAATCGCCATTACAGGTTTGTCGACACTAGTGACCTCTGTGGCTCCGGACGAATGTCTCGTATATAGTCTTGATATTTTTTTCTGTGACTCTGTGGCCGTGTTGAATTTGTACTGTGAGAAACAGTGTTCGAAAAAAGCCCTATATCAGGTTTCATGCTTAAATATATTCAGTCTTTTTTTTGTAATTAAAAAAGAAAAAAAGGCAGTCTCAGTTTTTCTTTTTTTTTATTTTTTGTTTAATTTTTTTTATTTATTTCTTTTTTGTGTCTTTTTTTCTTTTTTGTTTCTTTTTTTCTTTTTCGTTTCTTTTTTTTTTCTTCTTTTCTTTTTTAATTTTATTCTTTTTTAATTTTAAAAATCAGGCCTCTTTGAGAAAGATGGACGCCTTTCTTACTTTTTTTGTAAAATATGCAGATAATTAATTATTAAATGTTTTTAATAATTCCAGAATTCTTATTCTGGACTAGAAGAAAATCCCCATATTAAAAAAAATACAAAAATAATTACCAGTAGATTTTTAAAATTTATTCTACCATTACCAGCATATTTTATAAAAGAGATTGCAGAAAAAATACCTAATGGAAATCCTGATACGGAGTTTTCTTTTTAACATTGGGTCTCCCTGTATTCCCTGAATTTTCGTCGATGTTTCTTTTTTTCTCGTAAAATACGCTGACAACTGCAAAAAAATATTTTAAATTATTTTTTTGTTTGCCAAGAAGAAACAAACAAAAAAACTGAAACAAAGGAACATCGGCGGAAAAAACTGTATAAATTTCAATTGTACAAAAATTTTCATTTTGCAATTTCTCTTTTTCTTTTCGATCCATAGTATTTTTATTTTTATCATTTCGCCTTCAGGGTACAATATGATGTATATTCGTATATTTCACTACTCTGCCTTTGATTTATTTAACTTCTTTTTGTTTCTTTTTATTCATACTACATTTTAATTTTGATCTATCATCACAGTAACAAAAATAAAATAGAACATTTTTTGGCATTTTTTTTCTGGCTGAATGTATCCGTGAGCTTTCGCTGTAATTTATCCCCACCCTGTATAAATTCCGTCGCTTTAAGCCAATAGATTTTAAAGGAAATATGGTAAAAACTAGATTTTTAGATCAATGATTAGGTCACTATCGCTCTAGATATACCTATAGGGTGTCCCACCAAAAATTACCTCACCTCGATTGATATAGCAGAAAGTACAAAGTGGTCAAATAATACAGAACTTTGGCTGCTAGGTAAATCCCACAAGGGAAATCGCTATAATTTGTTTTCGAGTTCAAAAGTTGACCGCTAGGTGGCATAAGATCAACACAAAAGTGAAAATACCAATTTTCTTTTAAATGTTCCTAAACAATAATAATACAATTTTTCCATGACAGTCGGCATTAGAAAAACAATAAATTATATTTTGTAGATGTGTTAAAGAGAACAAAAAGCAAAGACATGATTTTAATGCTAAAATTGTTGTAAATCGTTGTCACTGCCTTTCAAAAGTAAATATCTTCAATAAAAATAAAGCTATTCAGATGAACCAACAAGTTCCAAAATTAATGTAGTGGGAAAAATTCAAACATTTTTACATTAAAACGATGATATATCTGTAAATAATCTCAAAAAACGTACTTTTACTCATAAATCAATAGATTGTTTCGTAATGACTTTGCAACCGGTCACTAGAATGCATTGTTTTTGATTTATCTAAATGCTAATACTGTCTCAGATTGTTAGACTTGTCCTTATTGCACTTTTTGCTACACCTATCGAAGTAATACCAAAGTTGGACACCCTGTATAGATAGGGTATCGCCAATGACCGTAGTTAAACACCACTGCACTATGTAGTGAACTATTCCGCTAGTATTTGGATAACTTTTAAGCGGCTTTAGCGAGGATTTAATTAACCCATTATTGGAATTTCGGTTAAAGCTGGCGCGAAACAAAAATGTCAATTCGAAAATCGATGCCGCCAGGCAGGCAGCTTGAAATTGTGATAGAACTATTCCGGATTTTCATTCAGAAATAAACGGCAGATTATTTTTTTTTTGTACTGGATGTTCCAGCAAGAAGATGCTCTATAAGAAAAAAATATATTTATAACTAAAGAGGCAATGAGAAATTGATGGAAATTATTTTCAAATTTCTGGAGCTAGAGCTGCTATGACAAATAATTATTACTTATATGGTTTAATATAGAGTAAAAACACTCTTTTAATGGAGCTGTAGTTCGTTGGATTCCGAAGTTATTAAAATTTAAATAAAAACAAATGTAACCTTCACCACTTCATTTTAGAAGATATGGCAAAACGGTTCAAATAAAAAAAATCTGCTAAAGATTATGATGCCATTATTTATAGTACCACTTATCCAGGCAAAATTTTGTAAAAATTACATTTTTATATTTGCCAAGCAGTTGCGCGATCTAGCGTTCGTTCTAGAAGCTTGAAAATAATTTCCAGCAATTTCTTATAGCCTCTTTAGTTAAATATTTCTTTCCGCAGGCTCTACGGCTAATACTTTTCGAGACACAGCCGAGAACCATTCTTAGTAGAGTTCCTGATACTTTTAAGATTTTTGGTATTGATTTCTATAAAACTATCCATAATTAATGATATAATAATAAGTACAACACAATACAATGCTAATTTCAGATAAAAGTTTGTCTTTTACTTTATATCTGACATCAAACTGTTAAATTCTTGAATTCTATCTGTTAAGAAATCACTCTAGATATTTTTACGCACGCTAAGTTCAAACGCTTTTTAGATAAACGTAGTAAGAAAAGAGGTCTACGCTAGAATTGCCACGTCAACCAAAAAATAACATGTTATTCTATATTGATACACTTGACTACAAAGTAATATTCTTCTTCACATACAATATTTATCCAATAACGTATATTCCCATTTGACATTTATTTAATAAACTTTAACATACAGTCCTATTTACATACATTATTATTTCGTAAAGAAATTTTTTTCATATGAAAAAAGCCCTAAAAGTTTACCGTTTGAACATAATATATACAAGAAAATGTCAACTTGACAATGCTTGATCCGTTTTATTTACCAATTCTGTAACTAATAAAATATACTTGTCATATTTAAATAAAAAATGACATTTAGCGATTGATCATGTTCTGATTTTAATCAAAATATGTTTTAATAAATAAAAATAGAATACAAGAAATAGAGCTGTTATACAGGGTGATAGGTTTTTACAGGGACAATCGATAGGTTTCGTTGTAAAACAATGAAAATGAATGCAAAAAATCTCCGATCTAGATATTGTGGTTCTCTAGAAACTTCTAATGCACGCTCAGCCTGGGACACCCTGTATATTATGACATACAACATGACATAATTTATAATGATATGATATACAATTTCTAGTTTTTATTTACAAAATTGCCGCTATCTCACACCCACATTACCAAACTTTTTTAAATTCTTGTTACATTAAACATTCCTACTCCACTACGCTTCTGGCGTTTGTATTTGTTTCAACTGAAACGTCGGGAAAATTTAGCCAGAAACTCAGAGGTCTTTAATTCCTTTAGAGACATTAACGTCAAGAACTCAGTTAGTCGCTTAGCAAAAGCTCTGTCATTTGTCTTTCAGCGGTTACTAACAAGGCGCTTAAACAAACAAACGGGAAACCACGACAATCTAAAAAATAAACTGTGCATACATGTTCGTACTGAAACGTAAATACTGTGTTATTCCTTTGTGTTTATTCAAATAATGCTAAACCTTTTTATTTTGAATATAAGACCTTTATCGTACGGCGTTTTTTAATTAAAGCTGGCTTAGCTGAGAAACGAGTTATTACAGCGAGGCACAAGAATTTATGAACTGTATAATATAATTTGGAATGCTCCGTTCCAAAAATGCTTTTTTCTTTATTGTGGTTTTTAATCTCGAAACATGCAGTTATTTTAATAATTACGTAAATAATAAAATATTTAGGTTTTAAAACATCAAGGACTGTTTAGCCATAGTTCACCGTTACGTCATCGTTATTTGTCAAATATGAGTTTTAGGGTGTGTCTGAGATCAGTTCATATTGTTTAGAAAATTTTAAGTGCGTTCCTATATTATTGATTGAGCGAGTTCCGTTTTTTATTGGCATTTATTCATTTTTTCTTGAACTCTTCAACAGTTACGATCCTTTCAATTCCAATCCTTTGGACTGTTGAAAATTTTGTTTCTAAAGCATCAGCAACTCGCTATATTATATAGAAACGCTATCAAGTTATATTTTACATGGGAATATTACATCTTTGCATTGTATTTAGTTCATATATTCCACAGTCGATGGGCAAGCGTGTTCTACCAGCATATCTTTTATAAAGACTTTCAGAGAAATAATTTATAAGCTTAGCAATGAGCTCTGGTCCATTTTGGTTAAATCTTTGAGGCATTTTTGCAATAAGAAGAATTAAATTTTGTTTTACAGAAACAGTCAAATTTTAATTTTGACATTGATCAATGTCCGTCAATAAAATTATAACCCCAAATTAAGTGACAATGACAATTAGTAAAAGGAAATTTTTACATTGATAGATGTCCGTCAATGAAATTATAACCTCAAATCAAACGACAATTACTAAAAAGAATATGCAGTAATTTACGAAATGCCGTAATGACGTCACCAATCTCTTTCATCTCGTTGGCAAGTGACACAAAGAACAAAGAAAAAAACATTTAAAGAACTATTCAAGAACATTTTAGTACTTTTTCGACAAATACGTCTATTAAAAACCGTAGACGTTCAGTAAAATAAAATTATATCAAGATAAACTTCAAAATTAACAATTATTTAATTAGGAAAAACCAAAAAGCCTCAAAGTTACTACTAGTTACTTATATTTATTAAAATCAAAGAAGCGATTGCTATATATTACTAACCTCTACAGATGCCTGAGCAATACATTTATTTATATTAGACTGTATTAAAAAAAAACAGGTACAAAACTATGGTACCTTTATCAACAAATATTGGCT